ATCGAGCACTCCAGAGCCATTCGCATTTTGAGTCCTTGATTCGAACCATGTATTGAATGCAGAAATAATCGATGAAGTCGCCATCGCCCCAGACATGGCGAGCCCTGGCAAACACTGTGGCGGCGACGACATGGAACATTGCTTTTGTAGGAATCCAGGCCATGTAGTCAAGCAGCCGAATAAAAGCCCAAATGGGCCTGTGCTTCAAATGTGGAGGAAGCTTGGGCAAGGGTTTCTTGTTGCTCTTCTTCTTTTTCTGCACGCAGCGCTCCAGCCCTTCGGCTCGCAGGCGTCTTTCACTTGTAGCTTGCCGTTGATTCTTCAGCAAATTTCGCCGCATGTGCCAAATGTCATGGATGAGATTTGCACACGGCCATACCTCAGCAGCAGCGTTCTTTATTCCAGGACATGGTAGCCCATGTCGCTTCAAAGCTTCCACCAATGCTCGGCAGGCGTTCAGATACCCGGCGAAAAGTTGTAAACGTCGACCCGAAAAGTATAATCCGCCGTGATGTACAAAGCATCCATATGGCCTGGTTAGGGTCCATGCATAGTCCAAGCGTCAGCAAGCGCCGTAAAAGGCTACACTTTCTATTCCACCCGCGCCTCCAGCATTAAGGCGAGCCAACTCCAAGAGGAAGGGCGTCAAGATGGCCACCCATGAAAAGGCACGCAGAGTGTACGTCAAGTACAGAGGCCTGTAACGCCTTAGAAGTCTCCGATGGAGTCATCCATAGCAGAATTTGTTGAGAGGCAACTAAGTTGTGAGCTGTTGCCAACTGACATGACATTTGTCCTTTAAAGCCATGCTGCCCCCGAAACCTGCTCAAGCCTCATTGCCACAGCTGTGGGCGTTGGATTCATGTTATCTCTCAATAGCGACTCTGCAGCTGCAAGAACCCGCAAGTGATCCTCTGCCGACGCTCCTCCTCTTTTCTCATCTGTATTACCAGAGCTGCAAAGCCTCGACTGGCGAGGTTCTCCACTGCAAGCTCCAGCTTTGCCGACCAGCAGGCGAACCCAATGCTTCTCCTGCACCGCGCCTTCGAAGCGAAAAGTTGTGCCTCGCAGTTCGTAACATTCTGTGTGTCGAGAACGCTGAGCTGAGGTGTAATATCTGCAATCGTTCGTCGGCAGACGCCTCGGTGTCGCAAAATTGCCAAGGACTTGCTGATTCTGCTGCGCCCACTTTCGGGCTGCAAGTCGTATCAAATCCTGCACGGATTGCCTGGAATCTGCATCAAAAAAAGTAATAGTTAATAGTCATCAAACCAGACCCCTTCTCTTTGCGGGCGACTCTGGCAGCGAGTCGACCTCTGCTCGGACTTAGAAGGCAGTGAGCGGACTTGTTGAACCAGCGCCTCCGTGAAACTTAGAAAGCAGTGAGTCGACCTGTGCTTGTTGAACCACCGCCCCCATGAGACTTGGAAGGCCAACCTACTGGACTCTCAGTGCAACCGGTTGGCTGTACATAAGCAAAGATTCTGCTAGAGACCTGCGTTGTGCTTATGCATAGAACAATATGCATGACGGATCTTGAAGCAGGCTGTTCCTGCCTCAGCCATCGTGCTGGCTCGCAACCCCCAGGTCTTGAACCAGCAGCTCGTATCGGAATGGAGCATCGAGAATCAACTCCCAATGCACAACAACAACAACAATGTACATGACAAGACAGATTACTTGTCACGACATCCGGAATTCTCTTGTCGCTGTAAGGAAACCTTTGTCATCGTTATAAGAATCTAGTCGTGGTAACTGCACCTAGTGTCTGCACCTTCGACGTACCAGCAGAGACTTCAAAGCCATCCTTGTTGAAAGGTGCCGAAGTGGGCCTCAAGAACAAAGATGAACCATGCCTTATAATGGGCAGCTCATGTCCATCAGGAGTTGAAAGTATGTTCGGATTCCTCGAAGAAAGGTTCACATCAAATCCTGACCTGAAAAGTCTACCGACTGAAGCAAAGGAGAGGGGAGCAGCCTCAAACCCTCAACCTTCACAAGTCTCCTTCCAAAGACCGTCAAAGGCTGACCCGCAATGCTCCCCGAAGGTGGAGCCTTCCCTGTGAATGGCAACAGTGATTACTACTCAGAAGCAAAATCCTTTGAACAACAGTGTGTGGCAGATGCCCTTCCAAAGCAACATCCTTGAAAATCGTATTCAGATACTTAGGCCCGAGGTCACCAACACTGGTTAATCGTTGGTTCTATTCCGTGCGACCATTCAAGGAGAAAGTCTCGAGCGGGGCCATCAGGCCGAAGATGCAAAGTCCGCAGTCTACAACTCACTGCTCATCCCAACTAGTCTTAGCTGAAGCTGCTAGACAAACCAAAGATAGCTTGGCTTTGGGCGCCGAAAGCCCAAGCCTCTTCCTTAGGCTTCTGTTGCAAAGTTTCGGCCTTCGCCGAAGGAACGGCCTCTGCAGGCCAAGGTTCCGAAGTAAAGCGCAAAGACCGACCCCATGGGTCCCAAGAGTCCCAAGACCAGACATCCCAAGACCAAAATGAATCATCGTTGTAAAGGTCACTCACGGCGTTGATCGCCCACTCGGTCCAATCAAAGCAATCATCGGACTCACCAAAGTTAGTCCAATCTCTCGTGTCTTCAGGTGAGTAAAGTTGCTCTTCACCTTCAACAGCAGAAACTCTGTAAGTAGGACAGTTGCTCGCAAAAGTGTCCCGTATTTCCACACGACCAGAAAACCGAAGTTGAACTAGAAGTGAACGTGCCAACACTGAATTCCTACTGCATTTCCTTTTCCTTGTCACTTGGAAAAACCATGTCCTTTTCTTTTTTTGTTTCTTCCTTTTCTTTCTCTTCTTTCGTTTTCCTGCCACGAGGGCACCAATGTCCATCGTAGCCTAGGCTCCACCCTGGCAAGCTGCATTTACCGAAGTCCGTGCAACAGGGTTCATCAAAAGTGTCGATCGGTGGTGCTCCAGGACCCGAGCGTAAGTTTGCAAAGTTCGGACATTCGATATCAGATGCTGTTGCAAAGCTCCTGTTGTCTTGTTCAAAGTTGCTACCAGGACACCGTACATACCTTGGCGTTATCGTTTCCCAGCCATTAACGTCCTGGTTGAAAGTTACGGGGTTGAACTTGAAGTCCAAAGGCTGTGTCGAAAGTGAAGTGCTCATGGTGGCTCCAGCCGGGAGAACTTCTTGTCAAGTCTGCTCCAGGTCTCAAAACCATTGAAGCCTTCGTTCTGTCAAACAACAAGAATTGCTGAGTGTTGAATCAAATGTGACAAAAGGTAGGGTGTAGCTTGCGAGAGAAAAGTACACGATTCGAGGTCGCTTTTACATCCGGATCACCTGCGGCACAAATTCTCATCGGTAAACTCACCAGTCATCAACTCAGCTCGGTCAAGCGAAATTACCGCACCCCGGTTTCGAACATCGAGATGTAAGCCTTGAAGTTCCAAGACCATTCTTCCCAGTCGGCCGGCTGTGCGGTAAACCTGTCCTGCAATGGAAACCGAAGCTTTCCTGCAAAGACTCCTTTGCCTGCGAGGTTTCCAAAATTCCTTGGAGCTTTCAGCTCCGCTACCATGCGAAAGTACAACGTACCAGAATAGCACACAAACTACCCTAAAGTAGATGAGCACAACTCACTCAACTGCGAAGCCAAAGTAACTCTGAAAAGTTCTGACTGTACCTTTCTCTGCAATGCACAAAGTGCGCAATGTGCTGGAGTCAACGGACGTTGGCAAAGTCTGGTCTCACACACATACACACATAAACACTAACAATCACAGACATACGGTTACCTACATACATACCTACACACGTACGTAAATACATGTGAATACGTACATATTATGTACATGCAACATGCATATACCTGCAGACGGCTCGGCGCTGCGTCAGTTTCACCACAGCCAGACTCTCGATATAAACGTTACAATTTGTGCAATACAAGCAGAATCCCGCAATGCAGACCCTTATAACTAGCAGAAGCAAAGAAAGAAGCATGCTTCCCAGGCTCCAGTCTCAGTCCAAGGGGCGCTTCGGGCCCTGGACGGGCCGAGGAACCTCAGAGGATTCGAGCCACATTCCGGAAGAAGCGGAGACCCAGAAAGCTTCGTACTCGTAGGGCTTTCGGGCTCAGGGATGCTGAGGGTTTGTCCGATTGCTTCGTCTGAAGTACTCCGAGCGTTCTGGGGGTCGGACGTCGAAGCGCCTGCCGACAAGAAACGTGGCAGGTTTAACAGCTGCTAGTCGGAACTGAAGCCACCTCCCGTAGTCTATTGGAGCCAGAATTCATGACCCCTGAACTTTGTCTGACGATTCACGCCGATTTACGCATGTGCACGACATGTGCACAGTCACCCAGTCGCGAGTCCAAAACACTTATCCCTGATCGAGTGTTCAATCCGGGGAGCCGAAACACAAGCAGGCGAGCCTGTCGCGGAACAGAGCACTGCAAGCAAAACCTTGGAGAAAGATCTCCACGACATTAACCGCAGCATGTGCCATGCAGTCCCAGACGTTCTACTGCTGCGCACCATCCGCAGCTGGTTGGATGACATCTGGGAGACTGGGTTTGGAGCGGGCAAGCAATCCACAAATCCGAGCCGTAGACCGCGCCCGCCACACCAAGCAAGCCCACCTCTGTCGGCTAAAGCGGTGTCGGTTATTGCGTTTTGAAGCGGTCGGCTGCTGCCGGCCTTCCGCGCCCCCATGGTGCTAAAAGGCCCTCAAAACTGCCGGTTCCGCAAATGCTGCAGATCGTAAAGAGGGGTGCCTTGACATGCGAACTGCATTGCCCGAAATGCACCCATGTTCCGGAGATGCAGAAGCAGGCACAAGCCTTCTTCAACGGCGCATCTGCAACCGTTGCCTCTTCAAAAGTTGCTGATGTCGAGACGGCTGAACGGCAGCTTTCAAAGGCTGTCGGTACACACTCCCAGGTGGAGCTGTCAAAAGTAGAATCTACGCAAGATGATGCAAGAGAACAGTGCAGAGTCAAGACTAGGTTCAGCTTGACACAAGAAGGCCGCTATGCGGGCATGTTCAGCAGTGGCCCTTGCACCGCCATTTCGGGGGTGAAGACTTGGAATGTCCGGCAGAGCAAGGTCCACCAGAAAGACGTCTCCGAAGACGGAACAGGTGGTGTAGCACTGCCAGAAGTGCTCGTGAAACATGGCTTTTTGTTACTTGCTGGCTCAGTGGGTCTCTCGGAAGTCCCCGTCCCCAGCTCCGCGTCTGTCTCCTCCTCCTCAATCCGCTGAGGGAGCACATTCAAAGGGCGAGACTCCTTCTTGTTGCGGTGCACCCGCCGGTGTGGTCGCCGGCGTTCCAATACCTGACTATCTGTCTCAGGCTGCCGGCACTGCCGGCCGGGTCGGCGGCGCTGGAAAACTTCCGCATCTGGGGCTTCGAGAAACATGATACCCCTTCGGCCAAGCCTGAAGGCCTTCTTCTTTGGATGGAGTGCCGCCTTCGCCGCCGTCAGGGCGCGCGAGCGTGCTGGCAGCAAAGTCACTCCATTCGCACACAGCCAGCTGTCAGTGATGGCCTTTAGACCACCCAAGTCTTCAAGCTCCTCAGCCTTCGCCGCTATGCGCCTGGAAAGGCACTCGCTTGTGGCCCATTCACGGATTTCCGCCGCGTTCCAGGCCATGGCAACAACGGCCGAACCCAACGGCCGCTCCCGCCGCTCCTGCCTGGGCCTTAGGGCCTTAGGCCTAAGCCGAGCTGCCACAAAGCTCTTGTCAAAAGAAACCAACACACCACACGCTACTCTCCGACTCTCCGCTCGTTTCTCAGACGCAGGCACGACGCTGCTCCGCTTGTTTCCCAGTGGCCCAAGCACGAGTCCACACGTTCTCACAGCAGTGCTGTGGCTTTGCCACACATCTGCCACGTCCCCTATCTGAAAACGGCCACGAGCTTCTGAAGCTTCAAGTAAATCACAAAAACCTCGGCTCATTCGGCACCCCAGCAAATTTCAGGTATTGCAGTCAAGCCAATGCAGATCGGCAAGCCACTGCACCCACTACACGAAATCCTCGACGATGCGTGGAACGCGCTCATAGACTCTCCCATAATGCAAGCATGCAGCCAGAATTATGAACAGAACGATCGCCAAGCACCACACCATGGCCTTCTGAATAGGAATCTCCGCCACTGCTTACTAAGCACATCACGCAATTGCTTCAAGCCAGTTGCAACACAGTGCACATGAATCGGCATGCACGTGCCTGATTGCCCTGCATGCGTCGGGCCATCATCGACAAGAACATCTTGGAAGTACCAAGGTGATCGTCGACGTCATGCAGATGGCCCTGACACACCAAAGTGAAGTGTGCCAGGCAACCACAAGGACATTCGGTGCTGTCCAAGCGGAACCCCAAAGTGTTTACCACGAACACTGTTCCAAAATTCGGGGTGCCAACCGTGCGTCCTGCAGAGGCTAGTTCTTTAGCACATTGCTTTCGCTGATTCTGGACGCACGGGCGTTCATTCATTCTGTGGGCATTCTGCCGTATTCACAGTTCCGGTTCGTGGTTACTGTCATCATCGTCATTACAGTCGTCATTACTGCAGGTATGGACTGATCGTACGGTAGTCAGCAGGCTTTGCATTGAGGCATTACTATCAGAATATACACTGCTTACGCCAACGAAGTTAGTTCTGCCAGCTCCTGTTCCTGTTCTCCTCTACCATCGGCCCATCGGCACAACCTTTCTCATCACCGCACTCGTATTGCCCGCACTCGTATTGCCACCATCAGCATTGCTGCAGCTTCCAATACGGTTGCTCCCACTGCTGGACGATGTTGCGCAAGTGATCATGGCGATATTTTGATGACCAGCAACATCATGAGCATTGTCATGATCAGCATCATGAGAGTGCGATGCACGCGCAGCAACGAAACTTGATATCGACAGCATTCAAGCACTAGAGGTGAGACTGATCCTGGTGATGTCATCTTCGTTCTGAGGTTCGCGTATCTTCGCATGCCACCCCAACTATGCAGCAGAATCTGGACTCTGATTGTTCATGCCCTGTTTTAGACAGCATTTTGACGTGCACATGAATGAAGACATATACCTGTGTGAAAAACGTCGTTCCACGTTTATCCCTCGCAGACACATACAAGCCTAGCAATTTCGCGCTGTGAGCAACAAGAACAGCAAGATATCGCAATGCACGAGTGTTCGTGTTCTGACTTCATGTCAAAAAGTCATCGCAATCCGATGCTTTCAACTCCTGATTCCCGCCTTCGTCCGCTTCAGTGCATCCCGCTGGTCGGTGAGCTCGGACATCACGTCCATGCCAATGCTCTCGGCCTGGAGTGGATAGCGAGCATTCGCCTGTGAATTCCTTCCAGCTGAACCATGCATAACATGTTGCGGACGGGATCCCCTAATACCTCCAGAAAAACTGAAAACAAAGTGCCACGAATGCCTCCAAAGCCGTCCGTCGGGAGTCCTGTCGACAAGCATGGCGCAAACTTCTCCTTGGCTCCTCTCTCTGTCAGAATCAGAGCTCACCACAAGTACCCGGGCAGCAACAGCCAGAAACAGCACTTCCGCCACGACAGTTTCGGCCCGATTGTTTTACAGGCACGGCCTCCAGGCGACGAGCACCGGCCCTCAGCCGCTGTGCCGAATCTCGCTGCGCCTGGCTTCTGGGTTTTCCGTGCACGGCCCGTGCAATTTAATTTGCCGAAGCCAGCTACAGCCCTCTCTAAGTTGGAGGTGTTTTGCATTGCGTTCGGAACCAGACTGAGCATTATATTCCTATCCGAAGCTGTGATTCGCAGTTTCTTCGCGCACCGACTTGTTGCACAGAGCAATAGACACATTGTCTGGCTCCAAAAAGCTTTGTGTGCCTTCTCATCCGGGTTCGCCAAGCCTCGCAGCAAGCCTTCCCAGGAGTAAGACAACAGCGGCCGGGTGCAGTACTGACGCGGCCTTCTCGGTTCAGCCGCGCTTGCACATTGCGAACCAAGGTCCTCATCCGATTTATTGCAAGACTTTTCAGCAAAGCTGTGTTCTAAGTAAAGGGACGACCGATAGCTGTGCCACTGTGCCTTTTCTCCTTTCGCCCACACGATCACACCGTCGTTCTTTGGCTTAAGTGCACTCGAGCTACGTCGACCATGTAATCAAAGCCACCTTCAGCGTAACGGGTGTCAAGTGAACGTCGGATCCAATGTATGGATGTCTCGTCGTTTCCTGAGTTATGCACAGCTGGCTACATGTCGGAAGTTTGCAAAAGTGCAGGTGACAGCGGAGCCGGAAGAATCCAAATCGTAGCAAGGACTGCAAAAGTTGCCTGACAGCATCCAATCAATCCGAGCGACCTCGTGACTCCTCGAAGAGACCCAGGTACAGCGCCGAATAGAAGGAGTCTTTGTCTCCAGGTGACACAGATGCTATGACTTCCAGCTGGCGTTTCGCGTCCTCGGTGCCTTCAAAAAGCTCCGACACGAGCCGCATGATGGACCTGGGGTCCCTCCCGACCCTCATCCTCAGCTGTGGACATTGGCTTCATGTAGGGGGTTCTACGCTAAGCTCCCACATAAGGCCTCGTACGCTTCGCTGGGCTTGATCAAAGCCGAGCAACATCCGCTGCTGGGCTGAAGCAAAGCCAAAGGCTCGTGCTTCGCACAACATGGCCCAGACCGCCTCCTCAGTGTCGCCGGAATTTACATCCGCATCCTTGCGAAACTGTGCCGCCCCGTCTTCGTAGCGGCCTGCGTAGTACAGAGCGATGCCCCTCTGCCAAAGCAAAGCGGATGGGTAGCCCACAGAGGATGCCGCATCAAAGAGCTGTGTGGACAGCTCTACCAGCCCGCGTTGGAAGGCTGTGCTCCCAGCCCAAACGAAGAAGAGCGCCACGGTGCTCAGGGCCAAAAGGCCCTGGAGACCCAAATCCAGTAATTTGTTCAGCACCTCCCGTCGGCGAGAAGCGGAGCGAGGAACCACTGTTCCCCGAACTCCTGCCCGAAGCAGACGGGGCCAAGGCCGCTGCGGCCAGGACACAAGGGCAGGAAGGACAGGAAGGGCATGCCGTGCGCTGAAGCGAATACTCAAACTCCCCTGCCTCGGAGGGTCCAAGCTCGGTGGCAGGGGAGTGTGTGCAGCAAGGACCCGTGCCATGTCAGCCAAGCAGGGCTGCATCCCCGGAGTGCTGCAGTAGTTGCGAGGTTAGTCGACGGCTTGATTGGGGCACTCTAACTAGTCAGGCACTGGCTTCAACCTTCCTTATGGAATAGCCATGGCTTCAAAGCTCAAAGATCTTGAAAGCTTTCCTTGCTCCGCCTGCTGTCCAAGAAGGGCTTTCTGTACTTTCACTTCATGTGCAGCGAGGCTTTCACCGAGTTGGCAGTAAACGTTCCTGAAAATGAGAACAGGCGGAGTGCTGCCGAGTCCTGCTGGCCAGCAGCTCCTGCTTGTATTCCTTCCTCAGCCGAGCGGCGCGTCTCCCTAAACTGCACAGACCCTGGAAACCCTCTTTATCAGGGCAACTCCTCTGAAGATGCCCGGGGACCAGACAGTTTCCCAGACAGGGCCGCCTCAACGGATGGGAAGGCTCTCCACAATGGTTCTTTCAAGGGTGCAACAGATGGTTCTATCAGCACTACGAGGAAAACTATATTATGTTCCTCGCAGGGGTTGTGCAACAGACCTGGTGGTTGGGGTTTTGGGGTTTCGTGCCTACGGCAGGGCTCGGGAACCTGAGGACTCCGGCCTCTCAGCCTTCGGACGTCGTTGAAGCAAAGGCCCGTACGGTCGACAACGGCAACTCTTTTAGACAGAAGGGGGTCTGCGACTCTGCGGGGAGGTTAACGGGATTGCTGGGGAATCGGCGCCAAGCGAGCCCATGGACTTCACCTCGAACTCCATTTGCTGAAAGGCCTGGCGCACGAAGGCCAATCTCATGGGCCTCATGGATCTCGCACTGGAAGCTTCAAAGGGCTTCTTGCAGCCACCCAGCCTGTGTTGCGCGCTCGTGCGCCTCAACCATCTCTTGCCTGGCATGACGGCCAGTCTGCTCACATCACCTCTCTTCAGCTGCCGAAGCCCGGTCTGATTGTGCTTCCTGGGGTCGGCACCCCGCGGCGCAGCGCTCCTGCGGCGGGCCGGCGCCTGCGGCTTTGGAGGTTGGTCAATACGCCCACATTGACCCAACAAGCTACTGTACCCGAAGCTCTCGAGTGCCTCAGTGTTACAAAATCCCGAAGGGCAAGCTGCTTCAAGCGCATAGCGGCATAGCAGCGCTCCTTCGACTGCCGACGCCAGGCTGCGCAGCTGCTGAATCCTAAAACAAGACGCCAGAGGCGGGACTCAGATACTGTACTTCCTACCCGATTCAACCTTGAAGTCGAGACGACACCGCAATAACGACGGGATGATAGATCCATGCGGTCCCTCTGAGCTGTTGACAACTGCTTGTAGTCTTCCTGCAGTAGACCCCCAGCTCTGGCTCCGACGACCCACTTACAGGTTCAGCATGCGCAAGTCGACAGCGGTGTCGGCGCCTCGTAAGACTGGAAGACCTGCAACGAAAACCGAGGCTCACTGCAAGAGACTGCAAGACTGGAGCCCGGATGCAAAGTGCCGTAATCGCGCAGCTACTGCCAGTCTGTCATCTCACGCACCTCCGAGATCGTGACAACAGGCTGCGGGCCTCAGCCAGGCCGAAGGAGCGGGTCGGGAAGTCTTGCTGTGTCTTGCAGGGTCCAGCTGACAATCCTACTCTGGCCTCGCATTTCTGAAGGCAGGGGTGGGACCGAAGCTCATGCCACTGTGCCCATGACGGGCCTTCGTGAGTGATGTAACATCCTTGATCGGATCTTTGGCGGGAATTGCTTGCACTAGTCACTAGTATGGTCTGCGAAGATGAGTGAGATGCTGATTCTGCCCATGTGCAGGGTGGTTGCCCATGAGAAGAGCGCGGTCGCCCAAGTCCAGGTTGCATGTCGCTCGTACGAGCTCCAGCCAAAGCTGCAGCAAACGAGCTTAAACGAGCTTGTTTGTAGACAACCACCTCGGGGCTCCCTGAGACGGTGAAGTCCCGAGCTTCGACAGTTGTCCCATTTTGTTTCTCCTTTAATGCCGGACATGACGGTTCTGCTTTGCAGAGGTCACGGGGAGTGTCAGGGAACTGCCCAAACCGCCGGAAGCGCCCGGCCCTAGACTTCAAACGGCCCAGCAGCAGATCCTTCAACGCAACGAACCGCAACAGCAACACACCCTAAGAGCATTTTTGCCCCGTAAATCTCACAGTCTCACGACTTCACTTGTTACTACTTGTTGGCTTGACAGGGATCTCAACCGGAAGTCCTCAAAAATGCTCACTGAGTTCGCAAGCGTTGGCGTCGTTCGAAGCTCTTGCCAGCATGCCGTGATGCACCCATGGTCCGTTCTGGCATTTTCGAGCCAAAGCTTCGAAGTTCGCAGATAGAACCTCTCCTTTTCGCCGACAGCGCCCGCAAAGGAGCAGGGTTGACCGAAGGAGCTTCGCAAAAGCTGCAGGCCGGGCAGGCCGGGGAGCTTGGCCCACCCCGCCTTTCAAGACCTGGCGAAAGAAGGAAACAAAGGTGGACGAAACGAAACAAAGGCGGAAAATAACGAAAACCACGCAATTTCAAGCGGGCATTACCTCAGGGGCACTGTACATTGCCCGACTCATGTGCAGCCGAGCGCATCCTGGTGGCGCTGGGCGCGCAGCTTTTGCGAGCTTAGCTTCCATCCGTCTCAGCCGCGCCGCCGAAACCTGAGCTCGGCAGCTCGGCAGCTCGGCTCGGCTCAGGGTCTCAACCGGAAGTTGCAACTTCGCGGATCCGCTCACTTAGTCCCATATTTGCTCACTTGTCCCTTGTAGTAATCCAAATGCAAAGACCCGGCTGAGCCCAGTGGCGGACTCGCCCCGAAGGAACCTCCACGACTTCGGCACCGTTCTCGGGATCGCTGGTCTTCAGACGCAGCTTGAGCATGACCTAGAGTTTAGGATTCAGGGTTTACGGTTAGGGTTTACGATTAGCTCGGCGAAGAAGTTACGGGCAAGACCCGCCAGGCCATCCTAGAGTCCTAAACCCCATGTGCCAGCCCCATTAGGCAATAAACACTACGGGCCCTAATCCCTGAACTCCTGGGCCCTAAACCCCAAAGACCGGTGCAGAAAAGAAAAGACCCGCAAACCCTAAAGACCAGGCCAGAGTAAGCCCTGAACCGCAAAACCCCGAGTATGCCCTGCCTGAACTCCGAAGACCAGCCCAGAGTAGGTGCTGAACTCTAAAAACCAGCCCAGCCCGAACCCGAAGGACCAGCCCAGACCGTGTCCAAAATCCTGAAGACCAGCCAAACGCATGCGATAGATTCTAAAGATACACCAGAGTAGACCCTAGGTCTAGATCATAGTGAGTAGGCTCGAAACCTAGCCCAGAGAGCCCTAAACCCTAAAGATCAACCCAGAGCCGGCCCTAAATCCTGAGGACAAGCCCTAAAGACCATCCTAGAGCAGGCGCTGAACCCTCAGGACCACGCCAGAGCGGCCCTTAAAACCCTGAAGACCAGCTCAGTGTAGGCCCTAAACCCGAGCGACCAGTGCGGGAATTGCCCGCGAAGGGCGAAACATCTTCGCGGACCACGCCCCAAATTGAAGGCTGCAATGAAAGAGTGGGCATGGCTGAGATGATGGAATTTGTATCATATTTTCACTAGATTATATTGCATAACCTATACTATGCTATATGATATTGCGTGATACTATATTATGCTACAGCACGTTACATTACATTACATTGTATTATAGTACATTAGAACACACTACATTACATTAAATTATGCTATATTACACTACATTACATGAAACTGAATTGTGTTATATTGCACTACATTGCATTAATTAAATCAAAACATGTTATATTATACTATATTGAGCTATATACCATATGACACATAGCATATATCATAGCGTGCTATATTATATGTCTGGTATGGCGTATTATGTTATGGTATATTATATTGTGTTGTATTGTATACAAGAGAAAAACGTATATATCACATTACACTACCTGAACTTGTGCTATATTTTATTGTATTATATTACATTGTATGGTATTGGATGGTACTATACAGATATTGCATACTACACCATATGATATGATGTTACATGTTGTTTAGTAGTATTGTATTGTATGGTGTTGTAATATATTATCCAAAGCTATTTTCTGTTATACAATATTAATTTATGGATGTATCATACATTGTATATGATATACAATAAAGACTGTAGCATATAATATGTACTATACGACGTTATGTATATATGTCATATCTTGTATGTAATCGCGTATACATCTTGTATATTGTATATTTTATCTAATATACCTTTATATAATATAACATGTAAGTTAGATTATATTAGGTTGTATTGTAGCAGTATTTCACAGAACTAGATTTTATCCCATGAAATTGTTGTATGTCATTGCAGTAAACTTAATTGCATTATATAAGAATGCTTTATATCATGTTGTACTATATACATATGTGTGTATGTGTGTATAATATATATATATATATATATATATATATACGTATATATATATATATATATATATATATGTCACCTGAAATCAAGAATATCCTTCGCGGGCCTTGCCTCTCTAGACTTCGAGTGCATCTGCCAGGCCCAAACCCCCTGTGCTCCGCACCTCCGGCGCATCCACTTCGTTTCGCTTCTGGCAGAGGCGAGTCCACAGGAAGGAGATGTCAAAAACAACGCCTCAAAAACCTTTTATAGTAACCTTTATCGTATCTTTACTAAAACTCTTCTTAGTCTAAGTGCGGAACTCCTTTTATTCTGAATTCCCCGGGCCTCTGGGAGCTTCGGCAAGCTGGAGGCGGACTGGGAAAAAGAGCAGAGGCTTCTGGCTCAAATGGGCTTTCAAAGAGAGGCCGCTTGAAAAGTAGGTTTTGGGATTCGGGTCAGGGCCAGACGGTTAGACGGGCTGCACCCGTTCGGTGATTCGCAGAAGTGGCATCATACTTCCACTTTCTTCAGCTCGATCCCCGCCTTCTTGACTGCCTTTGCATCATCTGTCTGCTCCTAGCCGGGGAGCTCGAGCGCACACACGGACCAAGGGGACTTAGCTGCCGGAGGCAGATGGCCAAATGCCCATCCATCACTCACACTGTTAATCCCCATTTCGATCTCCCTCTGCCTTGGTCACTGCCTTCGGCGCCTGGGCAGCATTCTGGCAGCCAAAAGAAGACAGGAACAAGTGCAGCAGACAGGCACCCACAGCTGCGCTCAAGAACGTTTCAAGTTCTGCATCAATACTTGGGGTCGGCCATGCCAATGCATGGATGGCATGGAGAGCTACTTAATGCGAGAAAACCCCTGTTGGGTCGACGACTTTGTGTTCATCGCGCCGACCAGGAACATCATCGCTCAGTTCCTCGGCATCCTGCCCAGGGATAACACGAGGCGATGTGCCTCTTCATTCCGAGGCCCTGCCTCGAGGAGGGTCGCCTCGATCCAGCCTTGCAGCCTCAGAGTCGAGGAACGGCGAGAAAAGCATTGCAGCCTTCACAACCCAAGCCAGGGTTCCAGGCGGACCCTGGTACACAAGCTGTGGATCCTTGGCCAGAAATCGACGCCTGGAATCGCGGAAGGACGACTCAAGACTCATGACTCACCTACCTGGACAGAGGTTTCGATCACGCTTGTCACTGCTCATACCAAGAAGGTCTGGTGCTGTTCCCATCGATTCGTAAGTTAACGAAGCCTTGAGGCCTTAACCATCCCAGGTCTTCTGCAGCTGGGTACTGGTCTCAAGTTGCTTCAGACTCAGAGAGGCCAAAACAAACGTCAAGCTTCAATCGCTTGAGTACACGTGCAAGCTGTGGATCAGAGCTCAAGCGGATTCCCACCTGAGTCTTGCAGGCATGGTCTGGGTTTGCTCCTTGAGGAGATTCACGGAATAGCCGAGCCTGGAGGTGAACTTTCCGACTCGACTCCAGAACAGGCTGCGATGATTCACGTTTTGGTGTGCCATGTCCATACTTGCAGGTCGGTGGCGGCACAACTGCACAACTTACACCGCGGCCAAAACCACAACTTGAACAGCAACAGCCACGGCGACAGGAAAAGGAAGACCAATGACCCTGGCCGGATGCATTCGTCGCTTGACTCTGGCCAAGTGACATGTGGGCGCCCACAATGCCTTCGATCTCCCCGTGTTCCCACGCGCAAGTCGTGTTGGAATAGAAACCTAAGGCCAGGTGGATGCAATCTGACGGAGTCCCACAACAACCACCACGTCCGTAACACACAACCACCCCAGCCAAAACAGCAGTCTGTTTCACTTTTGGTTTATCCTGCGAAGCGCAAACAGGACACCGAAGAAAATCTCGGCATTGCAAGCGTGGTGCTGACAGGCTCGCGCGGAAGGAGCTCTGGGCGCAGAAAGGTCATCGGGACCAGGCTGCCTTTGACTTTCTGGCGCACTGGACTGGCATCCCGTCGCATCCACGCATGCATCACGGCTTCACATCAGGGTACAAGCCCTTCATCTACGCTCGGAGACACGGAGAGCATGGGCAAAAGGGTCACGTGCTACACCACTCCCAGCCGCCGAGGAGCGCGTCTGTCTGCTCCCATGAACACGAATATCATATACAGGGATTCCACCCTGACAAGAATGGTAACGTGACGAAGGCGGCAGCTTCGACATGAAAGACTTTGCCTAAGACACTGCCAAGTCGCCTAGGACCTTGACTGTGATAACTGAACACATTGCACACTTGCTGAAACCGGCCTCGTCAAACCTCCCACGGGAGATTATGACGGCTGGTGTCCACATACCGTTCCTTTGAACTGAGCCATGGCATGGACGGCAGGGCGGCATGGGGATGGATCTCATCTGCGCGGTTCGATTCTCTCGATCAACGATACAAGTACCAAATCGTTGGATCTAGCTCCCCTGTCCACAATACTGCCCGTCCGCATCACACAAGACCCGCGGAGATATTCAGGGATGCTGCCGAAGTGCGAGACCGAAAAGTAATCCACATTCTCCTTCACCCGATAGGCTTCCTGGCAACAGGTGCTCGGGTGCTAACATTCCAGGCTTGACTCCCGGCCCGTCGGCCCCGGGTCCTGCCGGACCGACATGGAGAGACCGGTCAGCGACTTCGCGAGGCCTCGAGAAACGAAAAGAAGACTTCTTCCGCCCCAGCCCCAGCCCTGTTTGCGGGCGTCGCTTCTCCTCAGACAAAGGCTCTTGGCTCGCTCCTTCCACCGGCTCGGCGCCTGCGAAAAGCAAAAAGGCAAGAGCCGGGAGCCCATTCTGTTTTCCGATCAAAAGCGCTGCACGGACTGCCTTCTCGGCGGTCTCTTCTGCCTCTCAAGTCGCAATTTCGTGCACATGCGCCAGGTCATTTAGGATGAACAGACCCTTTGACAGACAGTATAGAATGCCTAAGTCACCCAACAACCTTGAGGCCTTCTCGGGCTCTCGCGGCGAAGGCGAGCCGGACCTTCTACGGGAGGCTGTACGCAGGGTCAGTGCGAACTCTTTGCATGTCCAAAAGCTCGAGAATCTTCTCCGGGCTCCGGTCCCGGTCGGCATGGCCATGGTCGGGTAGGAAGAGATGGATCCCAGGGTTCCCTGGGCCACCTCCCAGGACTCTGCGTGAATGCTTAGGCGCATCTGACCGGATCGAAGCCCTGGGCCCATTTGACCTGAGACTTAAGATTTGGGGTTATCTGTGAGGGCCTTTAAGGTCTACATTTTTGGCACCCCCGATAGATGGTCAGGTCTCCTTTGGGGCTGTCGAGGGCGACCTGACAACTATTTTCGGCCAAAGAAGACCTTTCCGGAAATTCACCAGGAAGGGCGCGCACCAGATTTGGATTGTTCGTCATCTGGGTCGCCTGTTTCCGCAGCTTCTCCTCACATGGAAAATGAAAGGTGGGGCTCAGCATTTTGGTACCAAACAACCTGCGGTCCGGACTATGTTGTATCAAATTGTCATCCTGCTGCCGGTATGAAAGGTCCGAAATCAGTTCCCATATTAGAGTCCTTTTCTGGAGCATTCGCAGTCATCTTGACCTGCAGCAATTTGAATTAAAAACATGCCACGCCATGCCATGGCATATGACAGCGCATCATGTCAAACCATGCCATATCAGACAAAGACATTGCCAACATCTCTACACGAACGCATAGCAACAAAAAGAGAGAGAGCGAGAGTGAGTGAGAGTGAGAGTGAGAGTGAGAGTGAGAGTGAGAGTGAGAGTGAGAGTGAGCGTGAGCGTGAGCGTGAGCGTGAGCGTGAGCGTGAGCGAGAGTGTGAGGGTGAGGGTGAGGGTGAGGGTGAGGGGGAGGGGGAGGGCGAGGGTGAGGGTGAGCGTGAGCGTGAGGGTGAGCGTGAGCGGTAGTGTGAGCGTGAGCGTGAGCGTGAGAGGGAGAGCGAGGGCGAGAGGGAGAGGGAGAGGGAGAGGGAGAGTGAGGGTGAGAGTGTGAGCGAGAGTGTGAGCGAGAGTGTGAGCGAGAGTGTGAGCGAGAGTGTGAGCGAGAGTGTGAGCGAGGGAACGAGGGAGCGAGTGAGCGAGTGAGCGAGTGCGAGAGTGTGAGAGTGTGAGAGTGTGAGAGTGTGAGAGTGTGAGAGAGTGAGAGAGTGAGAGAGTGAGAGAGTGAGAGAGTGAGAGAGTGAGAGAGTGAGAGAGTGTGAGTGTGAGTGTGAGTGTGAGTGTGAGTGTGAGTGAGTGAGTGAGTGAGAGACACAGAGGGAAAGAGAAAGAGAGAAGAGACCGACAGAGATCAATACAGTAGTATATTTATGTACCCGCACCTACCCGCACCTACCTGCACCTACCTGCACCTGCCTGCCTGCACCTACCTGCACCTACCTGCACCTACCTTTCTACCTCCATGCATGCATGCACTCATTATACAAGCAGACATGCCGGCATGCATGGATGTAATGCGCAATCAGAACAATAGAAGCAAGAACACCAGCGTAATCAAACCAGCTCGGTTACCACAAGGCAGCACCCTGGCCTTTCCAGTGGACATGAAGCTCTGCCCAGCGGTCTGCCGTGCATCTACGTTCCAAGTCACGACCGTCTTCCCCTGCGCGATGCCACTGGGAAACCGGGGCTCCAAAATTTCAGGGAACCTGGGCAACTCCAAGCCTGATCCTCTTCAGCATCCCTCCCACCACAGAAGCAGGCCGCAACAACCCTGATGTCCCCACTGCAGAAGCAAAAGGACGAAAGAGCGAGTGCTTCAGGCACCGGTTCGGCCCCCAGAGAAAAAGCCCAAAGGACGGCCTGGGACTTGCTGCCTCGGCGTCGGTGGTGTTTTGCTCACAGGAGAGAGAGAGAGAGAGAGAGAGAGAGAGAGAGAGAGAGAGAGAGAGACACAGAGAGAGAGAGAGAGAGACAGACAGACAGACAGACAGACAGACAGACAGACGGACAGTCAGACGGACAGTCAGACGGACAGACGGACAGACAGAGTTGAACAACCCAGGGAGCTACAGTCAACATCGAAGACCAAAAGACTGAGAGCGAGAAGTTGGGACACATGAAGTGCGGTATTCCAACTTTCAGCAACGCCGCTTGTGGAGGACCGCAAGGAAGTTGTCTTGCCCACTTTGGGTTGGTCCTGGCCAGATGGTTCCCGCTGGTTCCCAGAGTTCCCAGGGCCGGGACCTGAAGAGAGTTTCTGTAAAAGGAGCCTCCGTTTTCTCAACATCAACTTTGAATGTCTTGAGACTTTATAAGCGCTGCAATCGGTCACGGAATACCTTAACACTTTAAGTCTGGCATACAGCGCTGAGCCAGACAATGTATTACTTATCGGATACTGTTGAACCAGTAGGGTGTTCCCACCACCCAGTCGCTCCATGTTGACTTTGCGGCTGGCATGACACATCAATGCAAGAACGGGGCTTGGGGTTTAGGTTTCGTCCGGTGTAACCTTGTGCGGAAGCAAAACCTTGGAACCAAAAGCGAGAAGTAACGAACAATAAAACATCAGTCGTCCGTTAAGGAACATTCGGCTGTGCAATACACTGCAGACGGTCACAAGTGGAGAGGCCTCAGGTTGCGTCATACCAACACAATGGGAGCGAGGTTGAACCGCGAACGGAAGTACTTTCCCAGCGGGCCTGTTCGGAGGCAGAGGCACCTGGCCACATGAAAAGCAAAGCCCCAACATGTGGAAGCAACAGGAGCTTGGGCTGAAGAACTGAAAACCTCAGCATCAGCTGCCATCGGTGCACAGCAATAATCCCCAACCTGGTTTCGCTTTCCAGATCTGGAACTTGACGTCCTGGATTGGCAATGCAACGAAAGTAATCAAAAAAGTAATGCTACACTATAACTTGCGTTTGCAGCCGTGTCGCCGTCGCAGTACCGTGCCATACCATACCATACCGTTCCATGCCAAGCCAAAGCATACTATATCACCATACCGAAAAAGACCACACCCTGCCACAGCACACCATGCATACCGTGCCATATCATTACCGTACCAAACCCTACCCTACTCAACCCCATCCTATCGTCTGATTTCGTACCGTGCCACATCGTCTCCGATCGCATCATATCGTAGCATATCATACGATATCCTACTAAGACAGACTACAAAGGTGCGAACATCGTCGCACAGGCCCCTCCAGGATCCAAGTGCAGTGGAGGTTTGGCGTCCTGCGTCCTGCCCTCCGAAGTTCTCATGGTGATGGCCTCAAACTTTGTTGCAAAGAACCGCGAGGGTGGCGGAGGGCGGAGTAATGCGGAGTACCTACTCCGTTTCACAATCGTCTTGGGCCCAGGACTGAGCCTCTGAGCTCCCAACTCCCACATCAGGCGTGCGCATCTTCCAGCGGCCTACGAGCACAGTCTGTTCTCAACTCCAGTAAACCGTGTTCAACTGAGAAAATGAAAGCTCCAGGGCGAATGCTGCTTGGCAGCAGGTCATGATGATCTCTGCGGCGGCTCGCAAGAAGACATGAAAAAGGTAGCAAACCAGTTCTGGTACTTCGCGCACAGCAAGAAATTGCAAGCTGAGCGGCAATAAAAGAGGCAGCCGGATAGAACCTAGAAGGCCACATGGACAGTTACGACTGCACAGCCACTCTTCGACTTAATGTCTTCATCCATCTATCCCTAACAGCCAGTGTGTCCCTCTTTTCGTTCCTGTCGACCCTAGTCAGCTCATGCACGCAGGCGTGTGGGCAACGGTTCCCTGACATCGCATTCCGTGTTGCCAGATTCGTTGATGTGTGTGTGTGTGTGTGGGTGTGTGTGTGGGTGTGTGTGTGTGTGTGTGTGTGTGTGTGTCTGTGGGTGTGTGTGTGTGTGTGTGGGTGGGTGTGTGTGTGTGTGTGTGTGTGGGTGGGTGGGTGGGTGGGTGGGTGGGTGGGTGCGTGGGTGGGTGCGTGGGTGGGTGCGTGGGTGGGTGCGTGCGTGGGTGCGTGCGTGCGTGCGTGGGTGCGTGGGTGCGTGCGTGGGTGCGTGGGTGGGTGCGTGGGTGCGTGCGTGGGTGCGTGGGTGCGTGGGTGCGTGGGTGCGTGGGTGCGTGGGTGCGTGGGTGCGTGGGTGCGTGGGTGGGTGGGTGGGTGGGTGCGTGGGTGCGTGGGTGCGTGGGTGCGTGGGTGGGTGGGTGGGTGGGTGGGTGGGTGCGTGGGTGGGTGGGTGGGTGGGTGCGTGCGTGCGTGCGTGCGTGCGTGCGTGCGTGCGTGCGTGTGTGTGTGTGTGTGTTGCTTGTATGCCCTCTCACCAAGGGAGAAGTATCGGATTTCATCCTCAATCGCAAATACACGACCCAATTGAAATTCAAAGACGACAATGTCAACCCAACAGTGGGTATGGACATCAATGCACGTGAGGGGCAACTCTGCACACCTTTCGGGCAGAAGATGTCGGCAGGCAGTTGTCGCCGACGCGTTGTCGCACTCTCTTTGAAGCTATATGCCTAAGAAAGGCTTCGCGCGCTGTCGCCACCTTGCTGGCGACAAGCGGGGTATGATGCACTCACTCCGCGGTTTTTGCAAACCGCTGGAGATACAGGGCGGCAGGATCGACAGACAGCTGAAGAAATAGTGCGGCAACAACTTGGGCACTCAATGTCATCTACATGCTCAGATTCTTTCGACTGTTCATGTTCAAGATGTTTAGCATGCCCTTTCGCGTTCGATTGCAGGCTCTGGTGTCCATGCTGTGCACTGGGTAGTTCCGTAAAGATGTTGTGCAGCTTTTTCAGGTTGCGGAAGATTCGGCTGATTCGAAGCTGCCTATGCTGGTATGTGGGGCCTCACAACAACTAGAACACCGAGACTCGTCTGCATGACCCCAATGTCGGAAGCTCGATTACAACAGCTTCAAATCAATGTCCATGGGACGTGTCATTCCTTCCCTCTCCTTCCCTTTTTCTTCTTTACCCTCCCTGAGATCTGGGTCCGGTCCACACGGAAATGTGGTGGACCAAAGAAAAACGTGACACTGCTTGGAGTTTCCCCCTTTCTTCCTGCATGTCCTCGACTGGAAATCGCCCATGCGCCAAAGCAATCTGATCTCAACCTTCGGCCAACCTACACATGGGTATCGTCTCGATAGTGGTTCCATTATCAACTCGATGCGAAGCGCCAGTGTAAAGAATGATGAATTAAGCCTTTAAGCTTCGTCATAATTGTCGTCGCTCACTGAACATGACTTGCCATGAGAAGTCGCATCTAGAATCTTGGGGCGAGAGTCGCGAGTGCTATGGAAACCCTTGTCTGGATCTTCTCACTCTTTTGGGTTGCTAGCTGCATACATGTCAAGTTACATTTATTCTTGACACAAAACTCACAACACTGGCCAGGTCCTTATATACATCAGTTTGCAGCAAGTCTCGGCCACGACTGTATAGCGGGTGGGGACTGCCCAGCGATAGTTCAGGCGAGAAGCACAGCTGCAAATGAAGACGCCGCAGAGGATGCCAGCCTTAGGCTTGATAATGTGCGAAGGACTCGGCCCAGTGCAGATTGGAATCGATAAGTGGCTGTCAGATAAGATAGGCTGCGCAGATCGGGAAAGTCGACGCCTGTCACCGCCTTCTAAGATTGCCGGTGTGAGAAGGCCTGATGTAGAATCCACGAAGCCATCGCCAAAGACCAGCACAAGAAGCCGCACGACCAACTAAAGCAAGGGATGGGACGGTGCTGAGTGCTGAGGGGGCAACCAAATACCCCACCAGCTGCGCCATGTCGCAATCATCCCTGGGATTACAAGCAGATGTACCAAAACCAGGAGGCAGGAATCGTGGCAAGTGTCGAAGAAAACAATACGATGCCGAGGTGCGTAGGATCCTCTGTGAGGCCTAGGCACGAAGCTTTGTGATGAGGCCAATCACAGCTGCTACATAGCTGTCCGCAATGCCCTGCACCCTAAACAGTAAAGACTAGAAGGGATGCAACTGCTGCGCAAAGGCCAGCGGCCCTAAGGCCCATAAGCAACGCAAACACCACCGGGGATGGTTGTTTGTGTCCTGGCTGACTCAGAACTAGTTTTAAACCAGATTTATAAATGCAGTACAAATCATGGATTCTATTTTCATTAGAAGAACTCAGAGGCATTGTGAGCCTGCCGTACAAGTCTCACCCTCAACTCCAGTCGAGGAACTCTGCCTGAACCGCTTGCGGAAAACGAAGTCTATCCCAAAACCCTGCACCATATTCAAGTCCATGCAGACCCGGCACATTCCATGCTGGGCGGGTGATTGGCTCAGGCCCCACGTCTCAGACCATGGTGCGGCATCCGAGACTGGCCCGAATTTGTCTGTTTGTCAACATAGTTGTGAAGAATTCTTAGCCGCTGCAGCTCCATGTGGATGTTGGGTCAGAAAGGTGACACCTAGGCTGGAGTTGCAAGCTCGTCGGATTGCCGCGGCTGCTCAGACTGGATTGAGTCTCTGTCACACCTCATTTGAGCCTGCCATGGGAACTCTTGACACTCCCATTCTCCCTCACATGCAACAGAGATCTAGTCAAACTATCTGCCACCTTCTTGCGAGGTCTTGCTGAGTGCTGCCCATCTGAGCGCTCTTCGCACATCCAGGCACAAATGCTACTTTGACAATCTTGGACAGAACCTTCACGCATAACTTATGCAATGTCCCTGCATCCCACCCTTCGAGTATCAACCAGTGTCTACGTTGTGCCAGTGGCTTGTTGAAACAGTGGCAGGTTGGATTGACGAGGTCCATCCCGGCGCAGCTTTCCCACGTCTATGCGTCCACGGGTCAGCAGGGCCCAGTTCGGAAAGCACTGGTTGACAGAAAAGTGTCACATCCCGACCTTGGAAAAATCAGAACAGAAAACTGCTCTCAACTCGGCCATGTCCGCCCTGCTCAGGAGTGCGACTCCTGCTCAGCCCTCGTCTTCCAACTGGCCATCCTTGCCTTCGCGCGCCGGCCTCAGCCCGCGGCAATCGGTTCCCAAACTAACAGTTACACCGGTACTCTCCATTCCCGACTCCACTTCTCTACTCCATTCTAAGTTGTGTGCACTAGGCAGCAAGCACGAGACCCTTCCTCTGCAGAGTTCGCCTGAGCGCAAGAATTGAATCAAGAATCTGCAAGGACAAGGGCACAGCTGTTGCTCTTGCAACTCTGCAGACAACTCACAAATCCGTAAGTGCAGCTAGAGAACCACTTGTCTTTGATCTGCACCCCACTCCTGCGCACACTACAGAAAACGCCTTCAAGCTCCGCGTGGGAGCAATGAGCACTGTCACAGAAACACCTCTGAGACGCATGAAGTCCAGAGACATCATACCCTGCTCCCGACTCTCCGGGTCCTGTGTTGCCTCGGTTGCGAGCCAATCACAGTCGCAGCGAATTCGACTGTGAAGAGAGGCAACATGCATGGCTGCATTTCAGACATCCCGGGTTGGGCAACAAGCATGAGTTCACGCTCCTTCAGCACACGGACTCAACAGGCCTCATGCTTCACGGCTGCCCGCGGCTACCCCGCCAGGGCTGCTGCAGGCCACAGCTCTTGGAAATCATGTTCCACTGCTTTCCTCAGATGCGAAATAAACCAGGTTTGCCTGCATCCCGCCTCGACCCAAAAATTAGGGTTCAGTTTGCTAAGGCAAAACAGGGTCCATTACTCACAAACAGCAACAAAACAAAGACCTAAAGCCGCAACAGCCCAAAACGACAAAAAGAAACTACAAAGGCCCCTAGTGGAATCCGTAAGCTCCGGGCCGTAAATTCGGAAGCCTTCGAGCAGTCGCTGCCTCAGTCGAGTCAACCAAAGGTACATGGGATGTAGGGTGTAGAGTTCTGCTTCTGGGTCTAGGATTTACGGGTTTAGTGTTTATAGTGATGCATGGGGTTTCAGAATGTTAGGTGCATCTGAGTGGCTGAATGGCAGTCAAGTGTCCTTATTGCAACAATTCTACTATTGGTCTGCCCTTAAATCCCTGATTTTCTGACACCCTGACATGGCGAGACGCCGATGAACAGGCACTGCACGATAACCAGGCTGAATCGTTGATGCAAGGGAGACGAGAAAAGCAAAAAAAAGGCTAGAGAGACAGAGACAGACAGGTGGACCGTGAGAGAGAGAGAGAGGAGAGAGATAAAGCGAGAGAGAGAGAGGAAAACAAAAAACAAATAAAGAATAAACTACGGAGGCAGAGATGAAAGAAACACTGGGGAAAGATGAGGACACTAGCACACTCATACACCCCAACATTTTCTGAACACAGGAATTCAATCCAAAAACCGAAGCGACATCCAGTTTCTCTGTGCCTTGAGACGAGTCTGAGAGGATGGTACAACTCTCGGAAAAGCTCGACAAGAAATTGCACGGGAGCACGAGCATGTTCAGCTGCTGACTTTTCACGGCAGCTGACATCCGTGCTCCCAGCAACCGACCATTAGCTACACCATCACTGGCGGAAGACTATGCACCTTTGGCATGAGATGTGTGAAACAGCCGGCAGGCGGGCTCTGTTCCTAGGGTGCTTGGAAAAGTCACGGCAAAGATCTGCTGCTCACGACGTCCAGGGGCCACCTACTTCACTCGGGACCTCAGCCCACGCCCTTGAGTCCGGAATTATGAGGCCCGAGATCTCTGAAGCAAAAACAATGACACAGTGAGGCATCAACCAACTCCCAGAGCGACGGGTCCAGCAGCGTGACGTTTTGGTCACCGCCTGGATCAAGATCGCATCGACATGTAGCCCGACAGGTCCAGATCCCAAGACTTAGCATAGTACAGTGTAGCTATGTATAGTATAGGCTAGAGAGTACAGGCGCAAGAACCGGATCTGAGGCAGACGCACACACGAACACTCGCTTCATGAACGTCTGCACCCTGATGTCCCCTCAACCGAGCGGCACGTCGAGTTGGCTGGTGCCGCGACATCGGCCGATCGCACAGTGTAACTGTGGCCCTGCACGAAGGATGGAGAACAGAAGCAAAGGACTAGAAGATGACTTCAAGACTCATCACGGATGTGTTTGCACAAGCCTCCTCAACCACGAGTTCAAGAACAACCCAAGAGTCACATTGGGACATCGGAAGTTTTCCGAGTAGTTCAGTTTGTACCTTTCTTTCATGGTTGATGCTAATGACGGCTATCGAGCAAGTCGTATGCACGAAGCTCTCGCGACGGCCGGCCTGTTGAGCTTTCTGCTTCTCTGAAAGGTATGCTCTGGGTGCTCAGATCTGCATCCAGAATAGGCCGAGAATCCCCTGAGCCGAACCTCTCAAAGTTTCCAATCTGTGACTCGACCCGGCGTGCTTGTAAGATGGCAAAAAATGAAGTACTGTAGAGTAAGCACACTATAGGGCGCTTTATGCTCTACTACAATGTTGTAGAAAACCAGAACAACCTGTAATGACCACAAGATACAACACAATGTGCCATAGACTATAATACATAAAACATACTACAATAAACTATAGTCTAAAACAAATTTACCACACTATAAACAGTTATATGACATCGAATGTTCGAAAATGTATTATACAATGCCACAGTGAGAAGGCCCAGGATTTTCCCATGGAGCGATCGGATGCCTCCGCCAAGTAGATCATCTGCCTGGCCTCTTCCTGCTAGGTGCCGAACACAGCAGGAGCGGAAGCGTGTGGGATGTGTTGGAAAAGCCTCAGGTCCCAGAAGACCGGGGACCAGGATGGTGTCGTTGATCTCAAACTGCCCCTGTTCCGACACCTGAAAAAAAGAACGCGAGTTGAGCAAGCGACCTGCCTGGACGAACGGCCCTGGCGGGAGGGGGATAGCGGATGCCGGTGTTGTCGAGCTCCCTCAGCCGTTCGGCTCTGAAGTTTGGGCCGTCCTGGCTTGAGGCACGGCACTTTCCGAGCTGCGAACGGATACGACTGCCTCGTGGGGCCGACACCTGGCCGCGGTGCAACCGAGACGAAACGATGAAACGAGAGTGCTTTGCCCGTGATTCTAATGGCTAGCAGCTAGCAGGGGAATGAGAGCCACGCCATACCGCTCACCAAAGAAGCGAATGTAGCCAACCTGGAGTCAAAGCCGGGGGGCAGCAGTGGCAGAAGGATCCGTAGTAGGTTCACATCAAAACAGCTGGGCAGGGAGACGCTGCGTGCATTGCTCATCCACGTTGGATCTGAACTCCAGGAGGTTGCAACAGCTGCCGGTTGGATGCTCTGCTCGAGATGCACTCGGTCTCTGGAAGCGGATGCCACTGAGCTTTTAGGTGGTAGCCGCATCAACCGAGTGAACGAAAGCCAGATGCAGGTTCGATTGTAGGGGGCCAGGCCCGTGCACTTGTGAGTCCAACTTCCCATTGCCCGTTGATGCCTTTGGTGGATATCCTTCTGGTCAGAAACCCAACTGTGAGAAGTTGCTCGCGCAGACAGAGAGCGCAGACACTTGGAAAGAAGAACCAAGCTCAGAGTAGCCTGATTGTCGTCAATGGTGATACGACGATGTAGGTTTCCTCTGCTTGTCGCTTTTTTTCCGAAGCTCGCGAGAGGAATCAGGAATCGTGATGTTTTCCTTCTAGAAGAAACAAATATTTCCCCCGAAGCACTCATACCTGATGTGATCAGACCGAGAGTTTTCGTTCAGAGTCTTTAGTTCAAGTGGATTGGAACCTGGCGGAGCACATCCTCCCCATCGGCAGCTTGTAGAGAACCCGGAAGTAGTTTCAGGAGCTCAGGCCCGCACCCAGATCATCACACCTCGCCGGTAGTGGCGGCTGCGCAGGACACCAGTCGCATTTTTGTAGCCTGTGCACAACACAATGAAATAGCACGACAGTGAAACGCTGAGCCCCAAGCTCTGGACAGAGAGGACCGAAGAGAGAAAGCGAGAGGGAGAGCCGGAAGGAACAAATGACAGAATGAAAGAAACAGCACGAACAAGAGACTAACAAGAAGTGGACCACCCCGAAAACCCGATCTGAGGTTGCCGACCCCCAGCATAGCCCACGTCGGACTTGAAGTAAAAGTAGTTGCCGAATTGGTGCGCTCCCCCTGTCTTTTTGGCCAAAATGGCTGACTGTAGCTGTGTCCTACCAGTAAGTCGGAGAACTTCGGGACAGTCGGCCTACTTTCTGGCGACATTCGGCTGCTTTTGTGTCTCGCAGACCCTGATCCCGCAACATTCTTCCCCTACTTGCGCGGAGCCTAAAAGGGGGTTGTGGTGGATGGAATCCACCCGGAAGCCCGGCACAGTCGAAGGAGTCAGAGCGAGTCCTGCCGGAGTGGCCCAAGAAAGGGAGGGCATGACGGAAGGTAGGATTTGGTTCTGAAAAACCTAGAGATGTATAGTACAGCCTTTTGCTCAGCAAAAAGAGCAATGAAAGCAGGAGTTATCTTCATCGAGCAACATTAGGCCTTGTACATGATAACAAGCAAATATATTGAAGGAAAAGAAAATGAAGGCGTGCATTCTTTACCCCTCATTTAAGTACCTCAAAAAGAAACAGGAACAAAGGACACAGATATAGCAGGTCATATAGGTGATAGAATATACACCTCTGACTACAGTTCATCTCCTACCATTTAATTCTAGTTGCTTTTGAGATAGCTTCCTAGTGACTGGCCAGCAGTGTTAAATGACCCAGAGGATACAACCGCCAAGTGATGAAGGAAGAAAAGACCAAGTTCGTTCATATTTTGGTTCGTTTAAGGCCAGCGACATGTCCGGTATTGGATCTTGGATACGGGCCTTGGCCACCGATGCCCGGCCCGATACAAACCGGTAGAACCTGTACAAGTTGAAAAGGACCGGGGTCCGGGATCCAAGATTCTACAAAAGACTCCGCAGCAATCTTGGATCTTGGAATCTTGGATCCCCCAGGTCGAACCGGGGGGCATAAGATCGACAGATAGAGAGAGAGACAGAGAGAGAGAGAGAGATAGAGATGTAGAGAGAGAGGCAAGGAGACAGACAGCCAGAGAGCCACGCAACCAGACAGCCAGACGGACAGACAGAAGACAGACAGAAGACAGACAGACAGACAGAAGACAGACGGGTAGACACATAAACAGATAAACAGACAGGCTAATGACCAGACAAATAGATAGACAAATAACACCTTAATGGATAGATCACTACATAGATCGTTGACAGATGATCGACGGGAAGGAGGGATGGATGGAAGGCAGGACGGAAGGACGGATGGACGGCTGCATGCATGGATGAATGGATACATTGGTAGATTGGTAGGTAGGTAAATAGATAGATAAATAGATGGATACAGTGTGCTTAAATATGCATGCATAGATACAGTGTGTTTGGGTGAGACGGTCCTATGGGGCCATGGTTGCCCGAGTCGTGCTGGAATCCGGGACGCACGAGCGCCAGTGTGAGCACACCAGACCTGCAGACGACTCAACGAAAGACTGGAAACCTCAACCCCGCCAACTCGAACAACAGACTTCCCTTTTGGCTTACCGTCAAGCTCATGATCTCCAGATCCAAGCTAGACGGCAGTCTCTGGCGAGATGCTCGAGGTCGACGACTCGGACCGCGCTGGTGGAGTCGCCAACAAAACTGCGTGCCAAGGTGCTTCAAACCGATGCAGGACAGTTGAGCACAACAGGTTTCAATTCAGAACAGCCATTGCGATGCAACAGGGTGCGATATGCAGGTTCCACTAAGCAGCGTGGAAGAATCACATAATGTGTTGACATTGGGGGTCGTGTGCTGACTGGCCGTGTCTCCGGTTTTCAGAATCTTTGAGGATGCATGGTAATTTCGGAAACCGACCCCACCCTGGATGCGACTTC